CTGTATAAGAAAAAGAAAGAAAAATTTTTGTTTTGAAATACACGATTTTTGGCCCAGCCTCGATTTCCGTACCTCGCCTCTCCTTGAAACTTCGTATCGTTCCCTTCAAACAACGTATCCACGAAGCTTCCTCCGCCGCGATGCAAAGATTCGCGTCGTTCAATCGAAACTCGCGCGATTCCCGCTCGCCGTTATCCAACAACAACCTTTTAACCTGACATCGTTTGCCACCGTGACTGCGTTTGCCGACCACCAACGTCACCGGTTCAACGGCCTGTTTTTATTGAGAAGAGAGAAGAAGATAAGCGAAAGGACAACTAAGCTCTCTATCACGTGACATCCGTTCTTCCAGGCACGTACCATGGACAACGATCTAGTTTCCGCGAGATCGGCCACGCTCTTGCCAGCTACGGTCAGACATCCGGGCGCGAAGACCGCGCAAGTCGGCGACAATCCGTAAGAATCGGCGAATTCCTGTTCGGCGAGAGATCTCAGTTCATCGACGCTCGGTGTGGAGCTTGCAATTCTTTCGGACAGTCGAGGTTTCGCCTAAGAAACGGTTCGCGGGAACCGTAAATTGAAATAAAAAATTTAATTATAGTTAAATTATTACTTAAGTTGATATTTTATATATATGTAATTCATTAGATATTAGATATACAAGTTAGAAATATATATATATATATATATATATATGTAATAAAGAATTCTAAATTAATTAATGAAAATTAAATGTGGGAATTAAGATTAATAATGTGCCGGCAATAGCGGTTAAACTTTAATTATAAGTTCTATTAATATTATTTTTATTTAAAATTTCCTTCGCAAACTGTATTCCTCGGCGAATACAAATTGAACAAAATTTGAACCCACGTGCGTCTATTATTATAATAAATATAAAGTTTGTTTATCGTAAGTATGTATTATTGTAATACAATTGTTTATTTGTAAGTATGTATTATTATAACAAATATAAAGTTTGTAAACAAAATATAAAGTTGATGAAAGTAGTTGAGGAGAACAAGTGAACAAGTCCGAATACACTTGGCCAATGACAAAGAGGTTGTGAAACAACTTTTCTCTACAACCCTCGCGACTCGCTGCTCTCCTTAAAGAAAATCTTACTCCTCGAAACCTTTGCCTTCGTACTTTACATACACGCGCAAACATCTTTTCTAATATTTTACATCTCACGA